AGAGAGAGAGAGAGAGAGAGAGAGAGAGAGAGAGAGAGAGAGAGAGAGAGAGAGAGAAGAAGACGAAGAAGAAGAAGAAGAAGAAGAAGAAGAAGCTTGTGTGCCCTGATTATTGCTGACTCAGAGTCATTAATTACGTAGGAATACCTGTCCTTCCTCGTAAAGTCGCACACATTTCCAAACCTCTTCTCCACTGCTGGTTCAGGCTTTTTAAATGGGGTCCAAACTGGTCCCAGCTACTGTCTTTCCCGGAACACAATCCGCCGTCGTCATCATTGTATTGGACCGGAATAACAGCTTGTGTACATCCATGACGAGGGCTTGTTGTGCTGGGGGGAAGACAGTAGTGGACTTTAGCAAGGGTAATCTACCAGCGGACAAAGTCAGTTGCCCCACTAAATAGTAAGTTGTACCCTCTTTTTTTTGCTTATGGAAAGCTGAGACCCTTTTTTTTTTCCTTTTTTTTTTCCATGGATTCGAACTTGGGTCTGTATTTTTTTTATTTTTGCCCCCTTCGTTTTGCACCTGCTGGAAACCGGGTCCAGTGTGTCCCTTATCAAGATAAAGCCGGGGTCCTCACAGTCTACCCCGAAGAATGCTGGGGGCAAAAGCCCAATTAACATCAGATCCAAGACTATAGCCACATAAAAATAAAATTTCGCCTCCTGGACTGGACTGTGTAGCCAGCACACCTTCCGATAAGGTCCTCTATAATTTCATGGAGGAGGAAAGTTGTGGCCTTTTTTTTTTTTTTTTTTAATAATCACAAGGCTCTTCTCACTCTTTGTTTTTGCCAACTTGAAAATGAGCATGGTTCCACTAAATAATAATAATAATAATAATAATAATAATAATAATAATAATAATAATAATAATAATAATAATAATTGTGGTCATCAATCAGCAACGTCCCTCGCAACGTTCCTGCTGCTTTTCTTTCTTAAAATCCAGATGGACTACGGATTAGATTTGTTTGGGTGTGTGTGATCCTTTTTTTTTTTCTTTTTTTTTTTTTTCGGTGATCCTGAGTCTGTATTTCAACAATTCGTGTGTGTACCGTTAGATATTAAAGTTAATTAAACTGATGATAAGTATAGATATCATGGTTGATCTTTGTTAAACTACCAGTACTTAGTAATTTAAAAGTCGTGCCCGTTAACAAGTCCCAATGTTATTAGGAAATGTACGGGCCACTACAGGAGCGCCCACAATGTTAGGAAATGTACGGGACACTACAGGAGCGCCCAAATTCATCCGACTAGAAACGTTTCTACTCTATGTTTTTTTCCAAGGCCTATAGCTGGGCCAAGTACTGGTGGTTTAAAAGGCCCTATTTTTTGGTCTTCCTTTCGACCTTAAAATTTCTTACTTTATGTCCTTTGCTTCCAAGATTCCAACTTTTTAAACTTTCCCCTCAAGATTACTGTACCAGCTAAAAAAAAAAAAAAACTATAAGCTCCAATGAACCGTGGATAAGATATTAAACTGATGATGAGAACAGATACTACGTCAAGAGGCCTTTTTTTATCCTTTTCCTGTTAAACTTCAAAATTTCTTACTTTACGTCCTTCGCCTCCAAGATTCCAACTTTTCTCCCCTCCCCCCTCAAGATTACTGTAGCGGACATATATATATATACTTTTGCATATATATATATATTTTTATATATATATAGTTATATATAGTTATATATATATATAACTATGGTATAAGGAGGCAGAATGGATGGTGCCACCCAAAAAAAATAAAAAATAAAGGATGGTGCCACTCACTCATGCTTTGTTTGATAACCAGTCTCTTCGTGAGGAGGTCATTTTTTGGCCGAGCATCTGGCTGTCAATGTTGCTGGCTGTTTTTTTTTTCTTTTTCTTTTTTTAAAGTTTTTACCGTTCTCATCTTACCTTAGCTAACTCCGTCATGACTTCCCGTCTTCGTTTCATTCATCGGAGAGTCAATGCTTCTTTTTTTTTTTTTTTTTTTTTTAATTTGAAAGCTTGTTCTGCATTTACCTTTATGCCCCTGCAACGGTCTTAAAATTTGTTCTCAATGAAGTTGATGTCCTTCGGCTTGCAATTTTTGCACTTGTTCCACCTCCGCCTCCCTGTCTCCCCCCTCTCCTCCTCCTCCTCCTCGTCCTCTCCTCCTCTCCTCCTCTCCTCCTCTCCTCCCTCTCCTGCCAACTTTTTCACTTGTTTGACCCCCACCTCCCTCCCACTCCTCCCTCTCCTCCTCCTCGTCCTCCTCCCTCTCTCCCCTCTCCTGCCTGTCCTCCCCCTTTCTATATCTTTGCTCCTCCTCCGCATTTCTACTTGCTGATAAAGGTAGATATGGTTTACAAACAAACAAAAAACAAAAAAAAACAAAAAAAACAAAACAAAAAAATGAAACAAGTGTGATTGAGAAAGGCAAAGCACTGTTTTGAGAAGAGGAAAAGAAAAAAAGGGGAGAGGGCGAAGAAAACTGCTTTGTTAGTCTGATGACTTAAAGTTAATTCGCTGGAAAACCATACAAAACAATAAAAAGGCAAACTTTTTTGGGGGGAAAAACAAAGTCCAGAAAGCTTTGCACAAAAGTTTTGAGAGGTTGGGAAAAAAAAAAAAAAAAAGGTTTGAGAAAAAAAAACGTTTTTGACGAGTGTACTTCAATATACGTCCGGCGAGGACATACTCAAAACCAGAACTTTGTCTGGATGTATCTGACAGTAATTCAAGACAGAAGCAGTAAAAGAGGTCTTAGCTTCTTGAGTACTGTGTACGTACCTCAAGGGAACTTATTTTGGATGTATCTGACGGTAATTATGGCCGGAAGCAGGCAAAAAAGTGGTGGCTTGAGTACTCTATACATATCTCGAGGGCCAACAAAGGATATGGGTGAGGCTAACCAAGCATGTTGCTCCCTATGGACACAGATGTAAGCCGTGGCTGCTGTGCCATCGCCTTTTTTTCCAGAAATCAGTTTAATATCTGATTTAAAAAAATAGAGAAACAAAAATTCGATGCGTGCTGTGCAGTGAGTCAGGGCATATTCACAGCAGGACTGTCCTGGTCTTCCTGGATGCATCTGTCCGCTTTTTTTTTCCAGAAATCAGTTTAATATCTAGGAAGATTTTCAAACCCGGCCGGGCACCCACGCGTGACGCCCGGGTTGGTCTGCGTGCAATATTTTATTTTTATTATTATTATTATTATTATTATTATTATTATTATTATTATTATTTCCCTTTCTGCGCTCTCCCAGAGGACCCCAAATCCGGCCTCTTTTCCCTTTTCAATGAAGAGAGAGTCCAATCAGACAGCATGTCACATCCTCCTTGCTTGCTCAGGAATGAGATCTGAGGAGTCCTCACACTAGAACCGTCCTTGATGTATCGGGTTCCGATGATGGCCAGGTTCATTCAATAGATTCCTCCCTCCGAGTCGAGCATGTTGTTACCTGGCATTTTAAGGAAATCCTACCGTCTTCACTCGTCTATTGAATACGAATGTCGATATATTGAAAAAGAAAAATCGATATAGAAAAGGGAAAAAAGAGGAATAGAATAGAAATCATTCGCAATGGCCGGCACTTAATTTTTAACAGGAACTCATGAGCAGTGTCCTCTTGTCTTTTACAAACTCACAATAAACACGCATGTTCCCCCAAATATAGTATAGCGCACGGCCATTGGAGCTGTATTGGGCGTAGATTTCGGTCTAGATACAGCGATAACGACCGTGCGTTCCATTCGAGGGAAGACGGTACTGTGATTACATGCATACCAGATTTGCTACCCACACTACGCTTTCTATTCGCGTCGGTTCCTTCCTCTCAACAGCCTCTGCCAGTGCAAATCAGGTGGCTTTTTTCCCTTTTCCTTTTCCCCATATCCTGTCCAAGTACAGTCGTGCAAATCAGGTGCTAGGTAATCGGCACTCCTGAGAAAAGAAGGGAAAAAGGAAAAAAGAAGAAGGAAAACAAGCTGCCCGTGATTAGCAACTCTTGGAGTCCGTGTGAGACGATGATGCTACGCTGTCCTCGAGGGAAGAGGAACAGAGGCGCCAGCACAGCATCGACTAGCGCAAACACATCGGCGCGCGTTTGCAGATCCGACCGCAGATCGATCAGCGCAACTCCTCCAGTCCGATCAACCGAGCGCAGCGCATCATATAGGCGGAGTAGATGCATCATGCATTGCACCCTGACACAACGCAACTCGTCCAAGCACGGCGAAGGATGACCAGCGCGAGGCAGCGCAAGTGGGCGGAAAACAGCACTGCGCATTGCAAGAGAAGGTGCTCACGGAACCCCGCGTATTGCACCAGCGCATTGCAGCTTGATCAGCTCCACAAAGGCTGCAAGAAAAAAAAAAAAAAAAATCAATGCAAACGGACGAGCGCACC